CAGTTGACAGTGAAGAAAATGTGCACAGACAGGCCCATGGGCTTCACAGACCGTATTTGACGGTGAGGACGGTGAGGACGAAGTAAACCTCTGTGACCTGCTGATGCTCCCGCGTCGTCTCTGGGCTGGGTCGTTTGCATTTTCTCGTTTCTCTTTGTCAGTCTTGCCAGAGTTTCATCAGTTCTTACCGACTTAAAAAGGGTGAGTGACGTTGTGTCGTTGAGTGTCCTCTCTTACTTTTCTGTTTTATATGTTTCTGCATGTATGCTTAGCATTTCTCACATCTACTGGAACCTTCAAAACCTCTAGTTATCTAGAAACATGTAATTAACGGTTGTAGGATGTTTTGTGCTGCATACCTTTAACACTAGCTCCCCCTCTACTGGGTTGATGTCACTATCTCTCCCTCACTCTCCCCTCTCCCCTCTCTCTGTCCTGACTTCTGGTGACCCCCCCCCCATTCAATTGTGTACTCCTTTGCAATCAACTGCTTCCACAAATAGGAACGTGGTATTTGTTGTTCGGTGCCTGCTTGTTTCACCTAATGTCATGACCGCTAGCTCTACACTAGCGTTGTCTGCGTGCTTTTGCAAAATTTTCTCTCTTTTTTTAATACTTACTGTTTTTATTTTATGTGTATGAGTGTATTGCCTGAATGTATGTAAATACACCTGGGTCATGCAATGCCTGCAGAGGTCAGAAGAGGGTGTCGGATTCCCTGGAACTGGAATTATAGACAATTGTTAGCCGCCATGTAGGTGCTGGGAATCGAACCCAGGTCCTCTGCAAGAGCAGCCAGTGCTCTTAACTGCTGAACCATCTCTCCAATCCTGAATCTAAGATTCTTATTCATTTCTAGTGTGGGCATTGAGTGCTACAAGTTTCCCTGAGAACATGTGTGTTGTGTTGTTGTTGCGTGGAATGTTCTGTGGCTGTGACCCTGGTGGTGGTGGTAAGTGCTGTGTTGTGTTGAATCACCCGTCTTCAATGCCAGTTGTCCAAGGAGGTTCTAAGCCTCCTCTTAAAAGTGTGTAGCTGTCTGTCTTCTGTTGGCCGATCAGTTCTTGGTCAGGTGTTTTGCTCCTCTTTGCTTGGTGAGTATATATTAGGGTCGCTTCCTCCTTCATCACATAATACTCTCTGTGGTTGTGTTCTTGGTCCCAAAGTCTCCTCTTTCAAATCTGATCACACCCATCGGGATTGTCTTGGGTTGAGGATGCACAATAACTGCCTGGGCTAGTGTATTGGAAGTGAATTTCCGTGGATCTCATGTAATTATGTCAAACTGTTCTGCTGGTCTCTGCCTTTTGATTGGCATAATTTTGATCATTTATATTTGATGCAATTACTGACATGTAAGGGCTTGCGTTTGCTCTTTGGGAGTCTCTGGTTTTTTCCCCTCGTTCTTATGGGTTATGTGAATCTTTTCATAGTTCCACTTTGATTCACCCGTGTTAAGAAGTGCCTTTTGAGTGCATCTGTGTGTAGTTAAGTGTAGGCGTTGTGCACAAGTAGCTTTAAAACATTTATTTATTTATTTTCAAATTCTTTATTGAGCTTTCATAATTTTATACAACAATTCTAATCAAATTTAGACCCCCTCCCTAATCCATGCCTCCCCCATCCCCCCACCAGACCTCATGTATTCTGCCATACACTTTAAGGCCCATCCAGTCAAGCATTTATACCCAGATGTCCTTCAGTGTAAATTCATCCACCGGAGTCTAGCCAGCCCATCTAGAGAGTATATGTAAGGCTACTCTCCCTCACCCAGCACCAATCAGTCTCCAATAGTTCCCAGTCAAGGGCTGGCCCACCACCCATTTCTCTCCTCCCCTCTGGTCCTTGTCTGATTGAGCTGTCTTGGGTCCTGTGCTTGATGCCACCATTGCTGCAAGTTCACACATGCAGGCTTCCAGTGGCCTGAAAGTCTGTTTCCTTGTGTTCGTAAACCAGCCCTGGCTCTTACAATCTTTCTGGCCCCTCTTCTGTGATAGTCCCTGAGGTGTGGGTGGGTGAGGGTCTCATGTAGCCCAGGCTGGCCTTAAACTCTGTGTAGCTGAGGATGGCCTTGAACTTCTGATCCTCCTGCTGGGATTAGAGGCGTGGGCTGCCACACCCACTCCTTCAGCTTCTTGAGTCTCGAGGTCTGTGTCTCTTTCCTTGTGTGGAGCTTTGAGCATGTTTCCAGATCTCTCTTCCCTTTCTTCTGCTGGGATCCCAGTGAGGTGAGGACCATGTGCTTCCCACAGCTCCTGGGCTCCCACAGCTCCTGGGCTCCCACAGCTCCTGGGTTTCCCACAGCTCCTGGGTTTCCCACAGCTCCTGGGTTTCCCACAGCTCCTGGGTTTCCCACAGCTCCTGGGCTCCCACAGCTCCTGGGCTCCCACAGCTCCTGGGGCTCCCACAGCTCCTGGGCTCCCACAGCTCCTGGGGCTCCCACAGCTCCTGGGGCTCCCACAGCTCCTGGGCTCCACTCCCTTAGTGTCTGGTCTCTCCTCTCCACTGCTCAGCCTGAGTGACTCAGTTTCCATCTTTCAGTTCCTCTGTCTTCCTTGTCCTGCTGTTGACCTTTCGTTTTAGTCACTTGCTCCGTCCCGTCTGGTTTTGTTTTGTTTTGGTCCTGAGGTTTCTCAGACTTCGGTGCAGCTCTCTGCTTTTCCAGTTTCTGAGCCCGCCTCTGATCAGTGCCTGAACCATCACCGCTGCTCCAGACCCATCTGTCCGTTCCAGCTTCTCTGTGGCCAACACGGTCCCTGCTATGATCTTTGCAGTTTGAGATCTTTCCAGGTGGTTTTCTACTGCAACGTGGGTATCTCCGATTATGGTTTGTGACTTCGGATCTTACTGGAACCTCTGTTAGCTTTGTTCTTGGTGTCCCTTCCCTTCCTTTGTTTTTGAAATAGTATCTCATGCAGCCCCAGAACTGTCCTAGAAATGATGTAGCTGAGGTTGACCTTGAACTCACTAAGTAGCTGAGGTTGGCCCTGAACTGATCTTCCTGTCTGCACTTCTCAAGTGCTGGGATCACAGATGTGCACTCCCTATTCAGTTAACTCTTCTGATGCTGTAGGGAAGGTGGGCAGGCCCAGCCCTACTGCCCCAGGTGGAGGTAGAGTTCCCCTGCTGGCCTCTATCAGACTCTACCTGGAAAGTCCCCTTGTTACTGTGGGAGATGGGGTGGGTGTTGCGGGGAGCTCTGGGCCTCCATGTCCTCCACTGACGTTGTGATAGGGCAGCCCTGTTGCCCCTGGGCAGTGAGGACAGCCCTGACTGTCTTACCATCTTTTCATGCCAGCCTAGTATGTGAGGAAGGTCTGCTCTGACTGCCTGGTGACTGGAGGCCAGACTTCCCTGGATGGCCGCACCAGGGCTTGGGATAAAGGGAGGATCCTGTGGCAATGACCTGGCTCCCTGGCTCCCTGCCTGGCAAGGGTTAGGTGCCCCGTTATGGCCACACAGTCTGGAAATCCAGGCTTCCCCGTGGTCTTGCTGCTGGGGTAGGGAGGGACCACTGTTTTGGGGGCTGACGCAGCACAGTGGTCATTACCTAAACACCTTTGACTGAAGAGAGTGTGCTTTGCTTGTGGGGTTTTGTCTGCCCTGTTGGGGTGTCTGCCTTATTCAGTTCTATGGTGTAACTTTCCCTAAGGAGACAAATGCTTACTTACCCCAGACAGGGCACCAATGACAGACCAAAGAAATGATTTCCTCAAGTCTAGCTTAGGGAACCAGTGAGTTTATTGGAGTATCTCACAGGACGGTGGTGAGGGGTCACCCACAGGAGCGTGGTGAGGGGTCACCCACAGGAGTGTGGTGAGGGGCCACCCACAGGACGGTGGTGAGGGGCCACCCACAGGAAGGTGGTGAGGGGTCACCCACAGGAGCGTGGTGAGGGGCCACCCACAGGACGGTGGTGAGGGGTCACCCACAGGAGCGTGGTGAGGGGCCACCCACAGGAGCGTGGTGAGGGGTCACCCACAGGAGCGTGGTGAGGGGCCACCCACAGGAGCGTGGTGAGGGGCCACCCACAGGAGCGTGGTGAGGGGTCACCCACAGGAGGGTGGTGAGGGGTCACCCACAGGATGGTGGTGAGGGGCCACCCACAGGAACGTGGTGAGGGGCCACCCACAGGAGCGTGGTGAGGGATCACCCACAGGAGGGTGGTGAGGGGTCACCCACAGGATGGTGGTGAGGGGCCACCCACAGGAGCGTGGTGAGGGGCCACCCACAGCACGGTGGTGAGGGGCCACCCACAGGACGGTGGTGAGGGGTCACCCACAGGAGCGTGGTGAGGGGCCACCCACAGGACGGTGGTGAGGGGCCACTCACAGGAGCGTGGTGAGGGGCCACCCACAGGACGGTGGTGAGGGGCCACTCACAGGAGCGTGGTGAGGGGCCACCCACACGACGGTGGTGAGGGGTCACTCAAGGGAGGGTGGTGAGGGGCCACCCACGGGAGCGTGGTGAGGGGTCACCCACGGGAGCGTGGTGAGGGGTCACCCACAGGAGCACGTATGAGACAAGGACAGCTATGTCACTGGACAGTGCATCCCGGTTGGCATGGGTGACAACTCAGCAGGCTGTGTCCCTGGAGCGTTCCCCCGCCACCCTCTGTCCTCGGCAGTCCTAAGTGCTCATGTGACTTCGGGGATGGCTCGAGAGTCTAGTAACGTTTCCTGTGATCTAGAGTCTTAGGAGCGCCCCTCTCCCTCCATGAGGTAGTGTTTATGGAGGAAATCACCGCACCACAAGCACATGTGTGGGGCAGAGATCAGTCCAGGCACCTGCAGGGGTCCCCACTGGCCTGCCTTCTCCCCACATCCCAGAGGCCTTTTGGCTCTGTGTCTGGCATTCAGGGCCCAGATGGGGAACCAACACATCAGCTACATCTGCCCAAAGCAAAAGTTCAACTGTTGGCTTAAAAAGTTCAGGAAAATCAGGATCTACGTGGAATTGGACCCTGCACCTCACAATGGCCTGGCCTCCTGTCTTCACAGGTCTGGAAGCTTCTCCAGTCCCCTTCCCTTGGCCATCTGGAGTACAGGCTGTGGCTGCTCTGGGGAACATTCCCGTGGGACTCAGTGTGCTGACAGCCGTGGTGAGTGAGAACCTTGTCCCTTTATCCTGTTACCCAGGACAGCTGAGTGCAGCCTAGTAGAAAACTGCCAACTTGCTTAAAGCATTCTGAGATTATTTCTGTGGTTTTTCGTAACTTTTACATAGTCCTCTCATTGAAAAAAATGTGTGTGGTATGTGTATGTGTATGCCTGTATGGACACTTGTGTGTGTCTGTATGTGCACATGTGGAGGCCAGAGGTTCATGTTGGGTCTCCCCCTATTGACAGAGTTTCTCACTGCACCTGTAGCTGACCATATCAGCTAGATACCTCACCATCCAGCCTCTGGGATATGCCTGTCTCCGGCTCCCAGCACTAGGGCTGTGCACTGCCATGCCCAAGTTTTATGTGGGTACTGAGGATCTGAATGCATGTCCCCCCTTCTTGTCCAGCGCTCTACCCTCTGAGCCATCTTCCAGCCCCAACTGCAACTTTCAAGTGTCATTTCTAGGTGACAGTGTTGTGTCACAGTGTCCAAAGGTCGGACACACCTATGAGAACTGATCTTGATTTCCTTCTCCTGAAGGATTCTGGGTCATCTCAAATCACCCCCTTCACCTGTGGGTGTTTCTGAAACCCGCCAGTGCGTCACCAATCCAGAGGACCCCTGATGTTCAGAGTGGTCTTCCCAGGAGGGGAAGGAGGAACCTCAAAATGGATGGGCAGGGGTGGGGTCTGCAGTGCCTCTCTGTCCTGGGGAGAAGATGTTGGGGTGCTTCTCTTGTTCCCATTCAGGGGAAGATTCAGCATGAGTTAGCATCCACTTACTGCTTATTGCTGTAAATAAAATTTTAGTTTGTTGGGCAAACTGGCAGCTCTTGAAGAAGACCTGGGTTTGATTCCCAGCCCCCACATGGTGGCTAACAACCATCCATAACTCCAGTTCCAGGGGACCTGACACCCTCTTCTGACCTCCACAGGCATTGCATGACATGGGTGCACCTCACACATGCATGCAATACACTCAGAGACATAAAGTAAAAATAATAAATAAAATATTAAAAATTTAGTTACCTGTTCTAGTTATCTATTATCGTGAAAAACAACATGATCGAAACAACTTGGGGAGGAAAAGATTTATTTGGCTTATACATCCTGAGCTTAGTTCATCACTGAGGGAAGTCAGGCAGGAGCTCAGGGCAGGAACCTGGAGGCAGGAGCTGGAGCACAGGCCACGGAGGAACGCTGCTTACTGGCTTGCTCCCCTGGCCCCTGCTCAGCCTGCTTTCTTATACAACACAGGCCCACCTGCCCAGGGGTGACACCACCCACAGTGGGCTGGGCCCTCCCACATCACTCATCAGGAAGATACCCCACAGACATGGTGTGGCCAGGCCAATAGAGGCAATTCTCCAGCTGAAGCTGCCCCTTCCCAGGTGTGTCAGTTTGATACCTGACGCTGTCTAGCACATAACTCAAAACTTCCCATCTTAACCAGTTTCTGCTGCACAGTTCAGTGGCATTCACACAGTCATGTGACCATCCCTACCAACTTAAACACCCCCCAGCTTTCTGTGTGTAAGGATTTGACTGGGGACATCACACAGTGGAATCACCCAGCTCTTGTCCTTGATATCCGATCTTGGTATGACACCCACACCCATGTTGCAGTGTGTATCAGAGCCCCCTTCCACCTTATGGTTGTCTGGCTATGTCATAAGCATAAGTGGTTTCCTTTGTCGTGGGCAAACACCCAGTAGTGGGTGCCTGGGACTCTGCTTAGTCTCTGGGTTGCTGTTGCCCACGACTGTTGCGTGGTTCTCCATCCCATCCGCTGTAGAAGAGGGCTGTGGTTTTACCGCCCTAGCCTGAGGACTGCCATCCTAACGAGTGGGAAGCTCTGTAATGTAATGTGGTTTGGAAGGACTTGCTATGAGTGTCAGCAACAGGCCCGCTGTGCTGTCAGTGCTGTGGGAATGACTTTTATGGGAAAGACTCTCTGTAACAAGTCTTTACAAACTGAAAATCTACATTGCCTTATAAAGCAAGTTAATCATGTGTTTTGAGAACATTTAGAACTACGTGCTGCTTCTAAGAAAAGCAATGCAATCAGTCCTATAGTGATTGGAAATCCGGATGTAACTAACTCTCACAAGCTAAGCTGAACACAGAGCTCTAATCTTCTACCATGTTTTACTAGTTGTGACTCAGTGAAGTCCCTGACTCAGCTCATGTGTGTGTGAGATGTGACAGTGATGACATTCAAAACAACAATGACATTGACAACAATGTCTCCCCACAGATGTTGCAAGCGACACATGGGCATAGGTGGATGGCATCTATCTGTGGTTTTGTGTGCTGTCCTGAGTCAGTAGGGTCAGAAAAATAACTTCTTCCTTTGTAAAACTGGCATCAAAGATGGCTTATGGCATGTTCAACATGTTGTTCACTAAATAGGAGGCACCTTTTGTTAGGGAGAACAGAATAGACACAGTTCTGAGAGAAATCGGAACAAGCCCAGATCTACTTATTGGTTAAATGACCCTAAGAGAGAAGCTTCTCATTAATGGGGTACCCGCCACAGGTTCTGTGGGGTACTGGCTCCTCTCTTTGTCTGTTTGAAGCATGTGGTCTGGCTGTGGGGTGTTGGGCAACACTTTAGAACGTCACACAAGCTTCTGCTGAATAATTGAATAATTGTGTCTGCACAGGTACAATTCTACAGGAGCAGGTGTGGCTGTGATGTTCCTAGGGAGATGACCAGCTAGCTGCCAGCACTGTCCTAGTCAGGGCCCTGGGTCCTGAGCCACCTTGCTGGGGAGAGAAGGAGTTACTCCATCCTCCTTGGGGTATAACCCGGTGCTAGACACTTCCTCACAGGTAAGCCAGGGACGGCCCGTGCTTGGCACATCCGGCCTGTGAGCCTGGCCTGGCTGGGTGCTTGGCTTCTGTTCATGGAGGAGCTACCTTGGCCAGATGCCCCATCTGGAACCCTTCTGGTGCCTCAGCTTCTCTCCATGTGCCACATGAGCATCCAGAGCATCCAGCACAGAACCCACTAGAGGCTCCACAGTTTGCACAAACACCCGAAGCAGCCAGAGCAGAGCCCTGAGATAGGGTGAGGGGATCCCTGAAGGCCCTGGAAGCACAGACTGTTTCAGAACAGGAGGCGGCCGAATGTCGCTTGGTAGCCATTGGCCACAGGGACAAGGTGACCTGTGTCAGCTTGCCTCCCTGGCACTGTGGGTGGGGACACACTACATGCTTAGATGTAACCCATATCCTGGCTGGGGAGAGCTTTTCTATGCATGTGAAGTCACAGAGAGAGGGGCTGAGAAGACAGGGACTCTCGATCTGTGTGCATCTGTGTGTATCTGCATCTGTGTGTTCACGGGTGTGGAAGAGACAACAGGGCAGCATGAGGAACCACCCCAGGTGAAGCCATCCAGGTTCCCACAGCCTCCTGTCAGCTGATAGAAAGATGTTGGCTCAAGAAGCTGCCACTTCTGGAGTTCTGGGTCAGGGGTGGCTTGGTGGATGGACTGTTCCTGGGGCGTAGGAGCCCGAGGGCTTTAGTGGGAAGGTGCTTGAGATGGAGCGAGATGTGACAGTCACACAGAACCGGTCTTTGGAGGCCACTGCCCAACACGCTGGTTTCCAGGCTGTGATCAGAGGTTGGAGCAGCCAGGAGATGAAGCCCAGAGGCTCCAGGGTCCGGGTGCAGACAATGAATATGGCCCCATCGTCCTAGGGGCCTGGCTCAGGGATGAAGGCTGTCTTCTGTCTCCGTGCAATAGCATGCTCAGTGTAAACAAAACCAGGTCACCCTGTCCCCTCACTGCGCAGAGCCCAGACCTAGGCCTGGTCCATTGTTAGGTACCATGGGAGCCGATGACTGTCTCTCTTCTTGTTGGTCAGCTATATGGCAGTGACTGAGCTCCAGGCCCCGCTGAAGGTAAATCCATCTTCCCTTCTCCGAGCTTGCCTTGGGAGTGACCTGCCACCAGCTGTATGTGACAGGTTGATAGATGATCCCAAACCCACCATGTCCTGATCCCTTGAACCAATGTGTCCCCACAGGGCAGAGATGCTGTCTTGACTGGGTTGTTGAGGACCTTGTTGGGGAAATGGCCTGGCCATTTCTGTCCGTCCTCGGACGCCCTCAGTGCCCTTGTATCGCGTTTGGGGTGTTCGCTTGGTGATTGGGCCACGTGAGGCCAAGGTAAGAGCCAGGGGAGATGCAGCCACAGGGTTGGGCAGAGTGCTTGCTATACAACCCAGGTCCAATCATCAGAACCCACATATAGTTGTCCTCTGACCTCCACATGTACGCATGATGATGACGATGATGATGATGCAGCCGACTGCTCAGGGAGACCTGGGGCCACAGGAGCTGGGGGATGCAGGAAGACCTTCCTCTGAACCATAAAGGGCTGGGGAGGGCAGTCCTGACACGCTTGGATCCAGCTGGAGGGCCCGAGTTCTGATGTTGGCCTTAGGAATGCATAAGGGTCCCATGCTGCCTGAGGCCCACTGTGGCACTTGGTGGCATGGCCACAGGAGTCCCAAACAGGGCTCTAGTTCAGCCCCTGACTTGTCAGAAAGCAGGCTGCGTTTCAAGGAGGTCACTCAGCAGGAAGCAGGTATGGGCATCCTGTGTGAAGGCTAAGGTTCCCTTGACGGCAGGCTGGTCACCGTGGGAATGCCTGGTGGCAGTTTCCTAGGTGGGCAGCATAGATGATGGTGGACTCATTCCTGTGCTCTTTGGGGATGGGTTAGCCTTTGTAGATAGAGTGCTTGAGGTAGGAAGGTGGGCCCTGAGGGGCTGGCTTCCTGCTGGGTGCCCTAGGGGATGCTGAGTACCCCTATCTTCTATGTAGAATAGACAGACTGTTGTCTCCACGTGGAGGCCACTGACCCCGTCTCCCGCAGAAATGGCCGGGAGGGGGCTGGGGAGATTGCTCAGTTAGTAAGAGCACTTACTGAAAGAGATGATGACCTGAGTTTGAATCCTCAGCACCCTCAGCTGATTGCTGCCGGG